CCCCAGGCATAGCGGCTCTCGGCGCCCGCTCCGAAGGCTCAGGGGCTGGACCCGGAGGGCGCGGGCCAGCCGGAAGCTCCTGGAGTAAACTTTCCTCTGGTGGGCGCGGAGCAGGGACACCGCGGTCGGAACTCAGCGGAGCTCCTAGACGGCAGGCGTCCCCCTCCCGGCTGACTCCCCCGCCCTTCCCTCCGGAAAGTACGCACGGCGGTCGCCGGTCTTCGCGCTCCTCCTCCCGCGGCTCTCCAGTCGCCGCCCCGGGTGGCACCTCCTCGCCTCTTTCGTTGGCGTCTCTCGGTCCGCCGCGCGACCTGGGACGAGACAGAGAGAAGAGTGAGGAGCGGCTTCCCTCCGCGAGCCCGCGCGGACCTCGCCTTCCCCGGCCCCGCCACACAGCGTTATCCCAGAGAGGGATTCGCAAGCCAGGACTGGCGCGCCAAGTCCTCCCTCTTTCCTGGCCCGCGCTATATATACGCTTCGAGCCTCCCGCCCTCCTCCTTCCGCTTTCACACTCGTCTCCCGCCTCTAACTTCTCGTTAATCCCCAGCGTCTTCCCGAGCAAACTTCTCGCTCTCCCAGTTCCTTTCTCCTCCGCCTCCGCGGACCACCTGCCTGGCCGGGTCTCCCCCGCGCCCGGACCTCTCCCCCGAGGCTTAGGTTAGGATGAGAGCGAAGTTTCAGGTTACTGGACTCTTCGGGTTTCTTTTCGTACCTTCTTGAATGAGTAGGAAATGGAGGGCCATACAGCTGTAGTTCCCCAGCCTGAGCCCTGCCAGCCCCTCAGATCCCAGAGAGGGTTCAAGTCATCTCCAAAGGGGCAGAGGGAGTCAGCGAACAAAGCGGCTGGGACCCTGGGCGGGATGGCAGTCGGGACCGAAGCTGCTCGCCAGCCCGAGAATGGGGAGAGTCCTCCGCGCACCTCCGGGTTCCGTCCGGTCTGCTGCTCCCCGCCGCTCACCTCCGCGCCCAAAGCCAACTCCAAACGCCCCGGAGTCGCGGGGACTGCCCTGCTCAGCTCAGCCGGCGCGGACACCCCTGGAGACCCAGAGGCCCGCCCAACCTCCACAGCTGGGAAAAACCAACTGGGGCGGGGAGGACTGGCCTTGCGGGAGGATTTTGGCCAATCTGCCGACCTCGGCAGCCTTAGGTAGGGAGATTTAAGGAGAGAGAGTAGGGGGATTTGGGCTGCGCGCCTCCTCCTGGTGGAAAGGAACGAAGAACTTGCTGGGAAAAGTGAGGGAATCCCTTTTTCTTCCCCCTCGCCAGCATCCTTTGGTGGTTCCATATTTTGCATACTGTATTTACCTCGGACGGGAACAAAACAGTTGGTGAATCTCCTGGAATTCACTCTGCTTCGGGGCACCTTTGGCAGGGATGAGATGGATTGAGGCGGGTTAGAACAGCACAAAGCAGCAGCAGAAGGAAGTGACCTGAAAACGTACAGCGGCAGCAGCAAACGCCCAGCAGGTTGTAAGGACGCTTCAGAAAGTCTCCCCAACCAAAGAGGCACCTTAGGATGTCAACTTCAGATTCGGGTGGAGTTAATGCGCTGCCGCCTGCCCCGCCCCCGCACATCCCGGGGAGCTCTGCAACTTATGAGCAGAGAGCAACTTTAAAGAGGGGGGACAGGGGAGAACCGACTCATTCTTGATTCACTAGGTTTTCTCTTCCCAAAATTAAAAGCAGAAAGAGGAAAAGAGCTGCCAAACCATTTTAGAAACAAAAGGCAAATACCAACGACTTGAGTCACCCAGAAAGCGGATCCGCCCCCCTTCATCAGACGTGGCGCCGGGAGTCACTTAGAGAGAGCACATGGCTGAGATGGCAGGGAGTGGGGCCTGGTAGGGTTACCAGGGAAAGCAGAGGTTCGTCCCAGTCAGTCGTCCCAGAGGGTGCATGATGGGATTAGGGAAAGGGACATATGGAATGGTTTGTAGGAAGGATCTGTTGTTATTTGAAAGGGACTTGAATCCTGAAAGACATTTCCTGGCTCTGGCAAAATTCAGTATCCTCTTTGTCCCATTCAAGTAGTTTTTTCCAACATGTCAGAAGGCCCAGGCGTCTTCATTTTAAAAAGAGAAAGTGTTGATTAGGTGAAAGACTGATGGAAAAAATTAGACCTAGTATAGAGAAAAATAAGGGATGCTGAAGTTTGTTTCTGGAACGTGTGTATTTGACGTTGAAGGCCGGGACTCTAGATCTACAACTTACTAGTTTTGTACAAAGAGATGGTCTGCAGAAGCGCAAAACTGGCCCAGACACAAACCGCAGAGGCTGGAGTTTGCAGCGATTTGTGCAGAGAAAAAAAAAAAAAAAAAAAAAAAAAAAGCCAGTTTCATTAATTTACATTTGCCATGCATTTACCTAAATTCATTTTTCTTATTTTTAAAATGTTTTGCAGCATAAATGTGAAACACTGAAAAAAATTTCAGTAACTTGTGATGTTTTTAAATCCCAGGTGTTATAATTATATGAATATATGCACATGTTAAAACTCACATGACGTTGCACATTGAACTCAGTTCTACTATATGAACATTTCTAAACTAAAATTAATGATGCATAAAAATATTTAGGAATGCTTTGACGTATTAAATCTGATCCTATCTCAAGAGAAACTTCTCTAGCAGGATAATGAGATGCACTTTAGTATTTAGAAAACTAATACATGTTCTCATCTGATCTTCTAAGCAACTGAGAGGCAAAATAGATATCATCTGTATTATTGTATTGTGTTTTTGGTTGTTATTGTACTTTAAAAAGGAAAAACACCAGGGCTTGAGTTTATAATAGCTAATATTGACTTACTGTCTTCTACTTGTTAAGTTTTATGCTGATTAGTTTATAGAAATTAGCTCATTTATTCCTCACATCAGTACCCAGGTCCTCTCCCTGCAGATTTACAGATGAGAAAGTCAGTACAAAAATAAATTATGTAACTTGTTCAAATGAATGAATGAGCCCTTCTACCTGCCTCTCACATATATTTTCCATGTCTTACCTTCGAAAGGTTAAGGGGCTTGTGCAAAGTCTTACTCTTCAATCAGATAGAACATAAATCTCACTCCTGGTTCTCTTTAGACTTCTTAAAGACATCACACACACACACACACACACACACACACACACACACACACACACACACACTTTCCTATAGCCAGCAACAGGTTATAATAAATGAATGGAGACCAAGAAAGATCCTTTATAGTTTCAACACTTATTTGCTGTGTGTCTTCTGTATATTTGCATTTCTTAATTTTTAATATAGGACCACTAGTAAAGCTTTAAGTCATTGCTGTGCGAATTAATGTAGTCTATGTAACACATTTAGCAAAATCACCTACTATTATTGTTCTCTCCTTAATTGTTCTCTCCTTTCTACCTGTCATTTATTATGACCCATTTTGTCTGTGACTGTGTTACTGATAGAAGTACAAGGATTGATAATTAAAAAATCATAGAGTTGCCAGATCTAACAAATAAAAATACAGGATATCAGTTAAATTTGAATTGCAGATAAACAAGGAATGATTTTTGGTATAAATGTGTTCCATGTAGTATTTGAGATACACTGTCACTAAAAAATTAGTTGTTTATAATTGGGATTCAAATTTAATTGGGTATTCTGCATTTGAGGTGGAACAAAGTAGCTCATAATCTGGTTGAAGTAACAGATACAGAAACATAAACTCTCAATGCTGAATGAAGGGCAGTTGGTGTGTCCTTCTATTCCACCTGTCTTTTATATATTTTATTTCTGTTTCTGCTATTTTTATAGGAATGGGATAATTGTATATTATTCATAATCTTTTTTTAAACCACATATATTTATGTGTCTATACATATAGGCATATTTTCTTTAAAATAAAAAAATTCCATATGTGGATTCTTATAATTTTTTAACAGCCTTATTGAAAGATACTTAGATCAGAAGCAACTTTTTAAAGACAGTTTCTTCAAGTGAGAAAAGCTTGCTAGGATCAGTTCTATTTTGATTGTCTTAAGCATTAATTACCCTAAATTATCATACTTTCTTTACTCCAGACAGCTTGAAATTTTTTTTTATGTAGTACTTTTTACATACTCCAAAGCAGGACAGGATTTCAGAGCACATTTTTCCCCATGTATTCTTCCATTCCAAAATGAAATAAAGGGAAGAGTGAACTGTCTTGACAAGAAAGATCCAACTTACTGTTCTCAGTAGGTCAATTTATAGCCTCTAGGAAAATGTCTCTACACTGTCACTTATTTAGAAAATCACAATTTTTCTTCTAATAATACAAAAAGAAATCATTAGCAAATTATTTAAATATTGCTAATAAATCCTGGGAAAACAAGGAGTAAATTTTTGAAAAGACCAATTATAGCTAGCAGAAAAAATGCAAGGCGGTCCAGCATGGACATACACTAAGATTCTTTAAATAATAGCTAATTTTGATCTTTGTCTTAAATTAGTATAAGAGTTAAAAAAGGTGAACATTCAAATCTAAACAAACACCTAAAACAGAGTCTGGCATTGGTGAACACTATGCATATGTTTTAAAACCTTGAACCAACACTTCAAACCAGAATGACGAACTTGAGTCTAATAAAGGAAAGAAAATTCTATATGGAAAAATAAATGTTAAACATTGTTAATTATTAAAAAATTTTTCATGAACTGATTTTGAATCATTTTAGCAAAGTTTTCTTTTCTAAGATATATTAAGTAAACTGTACACAAGGGAATGTGTCAAAAATGACATTTGTCTAATTAATAGGACAGTTGAAGCTAGTAAAAAACATAATAAAGATGTCTCAAAATTCATTAGACATTAAATAAATATTAAAGAGGGAACAAACCAAAAGGCTATACAGTGGATCCTTGACTTACAAACTCAACAGCTTCCTGAAGGTTGGTTGTAACTCAAGTTGGTTGTAAGTCAATACAGCTGAGAACTGGATGTTTACCTGGGCACATGCTATAGATAACAGGAGGCAGATGAATCTTCCATTAACCTAATTAACCCAAGTTGTTTGTATGTCAGGCAGGTTGTAACTTGGGGGTCCACTATGATATGCTGAAAAGGTTAAAGTAGCTGAAAATATGTGATTCTTCTAGTTTGAGGAAATAATGAAAGGTGAATGAAAACAATTGTATTGTAAGATGAAGAACTATGCAAATAGCTAATGTTCTCACTCAACATTAATTCAATAAATGCTTTACGAAGACCACACCTTATGTATCCTATGTATGCTACCTATTTGGCATATTGGATTCGATGGATAAACACCCCTGCCCTCAGATAACTCACAGTTTAATATATAATGGTGCAAAGGTCAGGATAGAAGGGCTAGAATATCAGAATGTCAGAAGAAGGTAATGCCTCAGTTGCATTTTGAAGTATTAGTAAGAATTTGCCAGTCCAAAAAATAAAACAAATTGGTGAAGAAACCGCATTTTCCCCCCAGTTTTAGAGACTATTTAGAAAGGAACACTGCACCTACAGGAAGGAGTAATGCAAATCAGGTTTGAAATACGGTGGAATCAGATTACTGACCTCCAGTCTAAAAATGTAATGCACCTTGTAAAGCCAGGGAGCCAATGAAGAGTTCAGTGGGGGAAATGATCATGTGCATTTAATTATAGGTAGAGAAGACTGAAAATAGGGAGAAAAGTTTGGAGGTCCACATCAGAGATGATCAAGAGCCAAACTAAGGTAGAGGTAAAAGTTAAGCAAGACAGGAACAGATTTAGAAAAATGGCTCTCAGCACGGTTGCACTGTCCCAAGTGGGCATTTTGTGTATTTCTGGAAGCATTTTTCTGGTTGTCAACAAGAATTAAAAAGCACTTCTGGTATTTAGTGGGTAGAGGCCAGGGATTATAGATATCCTGTAATTAGAGGAGCAATGTCATACAGTGAAGAATTATTCTGTACCCCACTTGACATTCATTCATTCATCTAGAGAGGCATTCTTGTAGATGGAACCCTGAAGTTTTAGCCTAGAAACTGCATTTCACATTTCAACTCCAAATACTCATAATATGGTCTTATTATACACTGAAATTTTCAGAAATACAGCTACCTTGTTCATTATGAAGAATATTGTTTTATTTGGAACTTTACTAAAAACAAACTGGCACGTGACTCATTCTTGAATAATCAACACAACCCACCTGTATCACTTTTTACTTTTAATTGTGCTTTTTTTTTTTTTAAAGCAACAGCTATCTATTACTGATTGGTTTTAAGAAGAACTTCACTTGGGTCACAATATTTATAATTGAACTTTGTTCATTTTCCTTATATAGTCAA